ACATATCATATGGGGCCTGAAACGAAAGCATAAATATCCTACAATAACATAAAATAACATCCATTGAGCTACCACTACCGTGCCAGGATCATGACATTGCATAAGCCAGTAAACATACAGTGACATGCATCAGCAGAACCGGTTAAGTACATTTACATATACAGACCCTACTCCAAGATTGGGCGCATGACAAAAGCATAGGAGGGTCAAGGGTTTATATACAATTCAACCTTAAACAGGCAGTTAGAATACAAGCCAAAGCTTGACAAAAGTCCACAAAAATGAGATAGCTCCACCTAGGTGCCTGGACACATTGAGGTTGACAAAAGATAGACGGGCCTCAGGAATTAAGACTGGCTCCCAGGATGATTACCTACAGAAACAGACAAGATACGGAGTGAGCGAAGCTCAGTGAATAATAGTACTAAACAATCAATGATTATCTTTAATGATAAAGCATGTAACTACAGAGGTGTTTCATTAACTTTATCTTGTAATTATTTCCAGAACGGCCATAGGCCCAGTTTTTAAACAGAGTGGCTTAAGCCCAGTAATATACAGAATGGCCATCGGCCTAACAGACTTTACAGAATGGCCATTGGCCTAACATAATTTACAGAATGAAGTAATTCCAGAGTGATACCGATGCACACAATTCCTTCACTATTACATGAATTCACACCGATCTCTAACCAATATACACGTTAACGTAATTATTTACGGGGAACAAAACGTTGATAACAATAGTTATTAACGATAAACAAATGTACATTTATAGTACTGTTACTCACTGTGTTGTGGCTGAGTGTTAGTCCTACCCAGAGTATGTCCTGCATACATATACAACTCATGAATTATTTCCTTTTCCTTTGTTAATCATTTTCGGGTTCGCTTTGTTTCACATGAATTTACAGATATCAAAAAGGCTTCAAATACATATTTTAAAAATATCCGAGGGACGAGCATGTAAAACGGAGCAGGCAAATTTTCCCGACCTGGGCCGTACGTGCGGCCTTTCCCTCTGGTTGAGCAGCCAAACATAGTATGCAAATCCAGTTTTCTTCCACTTTTCCGCCCGTGCGGCCATGACCTCCGCACGTGCGGCCTGGCCCCTGTTTGACAGTCTAAAATTCATACAAAATCAAATTTTTGGTGGGCATCAACAAGGTCCAACATAGATCCTTTAATTGCTAAAACATGGTTCAAAAATCATGTAATTAGGAGGTACAACATATGATGATCTAAATATAAACTAGATCTTTATTCCATAACCAAAAACATAACTCAAATCATGAGATTCTAACTTCATACACACATAAACTTATACACACACATGGCCATATCCACATAATTGAGTTCAAATATGTCAATAGAAGGAATAGAGTGTAATTTCCCATACATAATACACCAAAGTAGTTCCAAAACACCAAAGTGATAAACCATGTTCCAAGTTAAGCAAGAATCAAATACTAACTTCTCTCTCATACCCTAGGTCACATGATTATAAGGAATCCCTCTGAAATTCAAAAGAGGAATCATAGGTGATGAATAAATTTACCTTAGGCTAGAGTCTCTCAAATTCCCAACCTTCTTGATGATCTTTTCCCTTTACTTCTCAAACCCTTCTCTAATCTTGTCTCTCAGGAGATATTTTTCAATGAAGCTTCTTAGTCAAAGTGTTTAAAGAGCATTGGTACATAGATATATATAAAATGTGAATAGGACAAAAATCAATCGTTTAATCATCCCAAATTGAAATTTCACAGAAATGCTTATTATTACCTAAAAATTATGCTGATCTCAAATGTCAAATTAATTTTGGATTATCAAGCCTCTAAGGCTCTCAATTTCTGATCCAAACATTTTAATTGTGACAGATGCATCCTTATTAAACAGATATGAATCAATATTCATAAGTTTTGCTTAATTAAATTTCATTTCGCATGAAATTTCACATTAAACAATTAAATGCACAGAATAAAGGACCGAAAGTATACCAGAAATAGATATGAGGGTCGGGTTATTACACTCTCCCCCCCTTAAATAAGTTTGGTCCCTCAAACTTGTTTTACCTCAAGATCAAAACAGATGTGGATATTGGTGTTGCATCTCCTCTTCTTTTTCCCAGGTTGCTTCGGTTCCGTAATGTTCTTGCCATTCAACTTTTTCCATTGGGATCTCTCGATTTTGTAATTGTTTCACTTGTCGGTCCAGAATTCGAATTGGTTTTTCCTCATAAGTTAACTTGTCATCTAGCACAATTTGGTGATAATCTATGACATGTGACGGATCCGGAAGGTATCCTCGAAGCATAGAAACATGAAACACATTATGGACTTGACTCATATTTGGCAGAAGGGCAACTCGGTAAGCTACAGGACCTACTCTTTCCAAAATTGAAAATGGCCCAACATATCGGGGTGTTAATTTACCCTTTTTTCCGAATCTTGGATGTCCATTCATCGGAGTGATTTTTACAAAAACATGACTATCCGCTTCAAATTCCAAATTCCTTCGTCGGTTATCCACATAACTCTTCCGCCTACTTTGAGCAGTTTTCAATCTTTCCCGAATAATTTTAACCTTTTTAGTTGTCAACTGAACAATTTCGGGTCCCAGTAATGATCTATTTCCAATTTCAGCCCAACACACGGGGGAACGACATGGTCTTCCATACAGAGCCTTATAGGGTTCCATCTCAATACTCGAATGGTAACCATTGTTATATGCAAACTTCACCAACGACAAATGACTTTCCCAACTTTCCTGAAAATCTAGAACACACATTCGAAGCATCTCCTCCAACGTCTGTATCATCCTCTCAGATTGTCTCTCTGTTTGAGGGTAGAAGGCTGTGCTAAACTTTATTTCCGTACCCATTGCATCCTGTAGACTTTACCAGAACCTTGAAACAAAATTTGGATCTCTGTCTGACACAATTGAGACCGGAACACCATGGAGTCTTACAATTTCATTCACATAAATCACAGCGAGTTTGTCTGCATTATACTGGGTTTTCACAGGTAGGAAGTGAGCGGACTTAGTCAATCGGTCTACAATGACCCATATAGAATTCATACCCCGAGGAGTCCGTGGCAAGCCTACAACAAAATCCACGGTAAGATGCTCCCACTTCCATTCCGGGATTGTCTCTGATGCTCTGCCTTTACTTGCTGACATTGTAAACATTTAGAGATGAATTCCGCGATATCCTTTTTCATACTCGGCCACCAAAACTTTTGTTTCAAATCCCGGTACATTTTAGTACTTCCTGGATGTAGTGAAAATCTCGAGGCGTGTGATTCTTCCATCAGTTTCTGTTTAAGTTCTAACACATTAGGGTCACATATTCGGTTTTGAAATTTGAGTACAGAATCCATCAAAGTAAATCCCGGTTTTGGTTTTGTCTCCATCTCATCACATATCTTCCCTAGAGTTCCATCTTCCATTTGACGTAATTTGATCTCTTCGAATAATGTCGGTTGGGCCATCACTGCTGCCACTATGGCCTCCTGTTCATTCATCACAAGATCTACCTTCATTTTATTCAATTCGCTCATCAATTCCTTTCGCTCCGTAAATAGATTTGCCAATTGTCCCATATTCTTTCTACTAAGCGCATCCGCCACCGTGTTGGCTTTACCGGGATGGTTATGGATCAGCAAATCAAAGTCTTTAATAAGTTCCGACCACCATCGTTGTCGCATATTCAGCTCCTTTTGCGTAAAAAGATACTTGAGGCTCTTATGGTCGGTGTACACCTCGCAAGTAGTGCCATAGAGATAATGCCGCCATATTTTCAAAGCAAAAACTACTGCGGCTAGTTCTAGGTCATGTATAGGATAATTCTTCTCACGGGGTTTAAGCTGTTGAGAGGCATCAGCAATAACCCTTCCGTTGTGCATAAGCACACAACCAAGTCCTTTATGTGAAGCATCACTATAGATCACAAATCCCTCAGTACTAGATGGTAAAGCAAGGACTGGAGCTGTAGTCAACTTTATCTTTAATTTCGAGAAAGCTAATTCCCGCTGTTCTGACCATTCAAACGCAACTCCCTTTTGAGTCAATTGTGTAAGAAGTACGGCGATTTTGGAGAAATCTTGAACAAACCTCCTGTAATATTCGACTAACCCCATAAAGCTACGCACCTCAGTCACATTGGTAGGAGTTGGCCTGTTCACGATCGCCACAATTTTATGTGGATCAACAGAGACTCCATCCTTTGTTATAACATGCCCCAGAAAGGCCACCTCATGTAGCCAGAATTCACATTTCTTTAGCTTTGCATACAGCTTCTTTTCTCGGAGTGTTTGAAGGATTAAGCGAAGGTGATTCTCATGAGCTTCCGCATTCTTCGAGTAAATGACGATATCATCAATAAAGACCACCACAAATTCATCCAAATAAGGCTTAAAGACTCGGTTCATCAAATCTATGAATGTTGCTGGTGCGTTAGTAACTCCAAAGGGCATAACCAGAAATTCGTAATGACCGTATCGGGTTTGAAAAGTTGTCTTCTCAACATCAACAGCATTAACTTTCAATTGGTGGTATCTAGACCGTAAATCAATTTTAGAAAAGATCTGTGCCCCTTGTAACTGGTCAAACAAATCGTCGATCTGCGGCAATGGGTACTTCTTCTTGATTGTTACTTTATTAAGCTCCTTGTAGTCTATACATAATCGGAGTGTTCCGTCTTTCTTTTTCACAAATAGAACTGGTGCACCCCATGGAGAAACACTCAGGCGAATAAACCCGTTATTAAGTAAATCTTGCAACTGAACCTTTAACTCCTTCATTTAAGCTGGTGACATTCTGTACAGAGTCTTGGAAATGGGTTGAGTTCCCGGCGCTACTTCAATTGTAAACTCAATTTCACGGTCCACCAACTCCCTCGGTAATTCTTCCGGAAAAACATCCAGAAATTCACAAACAACTGGAATCATGTCAGTACTCTCATTCATCATTGGCCCTTCCAAGACACTGCATCAATTCCCCTAACACCCTTTCTGAATTAATTTACATGCCTTTGCTGCAGAAATCAAATAAGGTGGAGAAGTCACTCCCTGTCCCTGAAAAGTAGACTCTGATTGTCCCGGAGGATGGAAACTGATTTGCTTAGTCAAACAGTCTATAGTGGCACCGTATTCACTCAACCAGTCCATTCCTAGAATAATATCAAAATAAATCATATCAAGAGGTAACAAATTGGCATAGACCCGGACATCCCCAATGAGGAGTTCACAAGCAAAATATACAGAGGTACAGATCATAGAATCTCCCAAGGGTGAGGACACACATGGCATATAGGATAATACTTCTTCAGATCTATCTAAATGTTGAGCAAATAATTTTGACACAAAGGAATGGGTAGAGCCAGAATCAAACAATACATGAGCAGAATGACTGTGAACAATAAAAATACCTGACACTATTGTCGCCGCATTTTGCACATCCCCCAGAACCAATGCAAACACCCTGCCTTGTCTCGTAGTATCTTTACTGTTAGTAGGTTTGGTAACCGACTTGGTGTTGGAAGTTGGTGCAGACCCTACTGAACTGGTGACAGTTTTATTGTTATTCTGTTGATTCATTTGAGGACAATCCTTTAAGAAATGACCCGTCTTGCCACATCGAAAACATGCTCCCGTTAATCGGTGACAAATCCCACGGTGCCTCCTTCCATATTCTGAACACACAAGGGCTGAATCTTGAGTAGAAGTGGTAGGGTTGGAGATCCCTGGATTTTGCTTCCTATTTGGTGGAGCACTCGACCCCCTTGATAATTGATTATTCTGCCGTTTTCCTCTCCATTCAGAAATCCGACTCTGAGCAGCAAGGTTTCCCTTTGCTATAACAGCCCTCTCCAACACATCCACATAGGTAGGTAGTTTTAACATGTTGACTTTATCTAGGATAGCATTCCGTAATCCCCTTTCAAATTTTCGTGCCTTCTTATAATCTGTATCCACCATATGAGGTGCAAACCGAGCAAGTTCTGCAAATTGAGCTTCATACTCTGCTATAGTCTTGTTACCTTGTCCAAGAGTTCCAAATTCAGTCACCTTCATGTCTCGTACACTCTAAGGAAAATACTTATCACAAAACAATTCCAAAAATCTGTCCCATGTTAACCCCTGATGCACAGTTCTCGTAAGCATCCACCACCTTTGCGCTTCGTCTTCGAGAGTGGAGGCAGCCAATTGCACTTTTTGTGCCTTGGTAGAGGGGAATACTTCAAATAGTTTTTCTATTCCCAGTACCCATGCCTCGGCTTTCGTTGGTTCTATTCCTCCTTTGAAGGATGGAGGTTTCATCTTTTTAAAATCCTTTGTGAGTGTGATGGTTCAGTCCTCAGCTTGCAAATCTTGTACCACAGGTGGAGGTTCCGGTGGTGGGGGCGGTTGTGGCTATTGCTATTGCTGTTGTTGCTGTAAGGTTTCCGCTATTTCTGTAATCACTCTCACCATCCTGTCCAACCGTGCAGAAGTGGCATCTTTCGGGTCTTCCGTTCTTGTTCTGACTGTTTTCTACATGACAATCAATTACAATATGCACAAAAGATGTACAATAGGCATGAGTCAAAATCATTAGCGTTAGCAGATCACATTTAACGTTGCCATCGATCTTTTCATTTGCTTTCAAAATGTTATGCATGATGCCTAAATCTTTTCTAGATATCCTAAGGCTCAATGAATCCGTGTGTGAGATAGCAACTCTTGCTCTGATACCACTTGTCACACCCCAAACTCGCCCCTAAAAAGTTCGGGCATGACCGACTCAGAAACAGACATTTTACCTGATATACATATCATATGGGGCCTGAAATGGAAGCATAAATATCCTACAATAACATAAAATAACATCCATTGAGCTACCACTACCATGCCAGGATCATGACATTGCATAAGCAAGTAAACATACAGTGACACGCATCAGCAGAACTGGTTAAGTACATTTACATATACAGACCCTACTCCAAGATTGGGCGTATGACAAAAGCATAGGAGGGTGAAGGGTTTATATACTATTCAACCTTAAACAGGCAGTTAGAATACAAGCCAAAGCTTGACAAAAGTCCACAAAAATGAGACAGCTCCACCTAAGTGCCTGGACACATTGAGGTTGACAAAAGATAGATGGGCCTCAGGAATTAAGACTGGCTCCCAGGATGATTACCTACAGAAACAGACAAGATACGAAGTGAGCAAAGCTCAGTGAATAATAGTACTAAACAATCAATGATTATCTTGAATGATAAATCATGTAACTGCAGAGGCGTTTCATTAACTTTATCTTGTAATTATTTCTAGAACGACCGTAGGCCCAGTTTTTAAACAGAGTGGCTTAAGCCTAGTAATATACAGAACGGCCATCAACCTAACAAAATTTATAGAACGGCCATTGGCCTAACAGAATTTACAGAACGGCCATTGACCTAACAGAATTTACTGAACGGAGTAATTCTAGAGTGATACCGATGCACAGAATTCCTTCAGTGTTACATGAATTCACACCAATCTCCAACCAATATACATGTTAACGTAATTATTTACGGGGAACAAAACGTTGATAACAATAGTTATAAACGATAAATAAATGTACATTTATAATACTGTTACTCACTGTGTTGTGGCTGAGCGTTAGTCCTTCCCAGAGTACGTCCTACATACATACACAACTCATGAATTATTTCCTTTTCCTTTGTTAATCATTTTCGGGTTCGCTTTGTTTCACATGAATTTACAGATATCAAAAAGGCTTCAAATACATATTTTAAAAACATCTGAGGGACGAGCACGTAAAACGGAGCAGGCAAATTTTCCCGACCTGGGCTGCACGTGCAGCCGTCCCCTCCGCTCGAGCGGCCAAAAACAGTACACAAATTCAGTTTTCTTCCTCTTTTCCGCACGTGCGGCCATGACCTCCGCACGTGCGACATGGCCCCTGTTTGACAATCCGAAATTCATATACAATCCAATTTTTGGTGGGCATCAACAAGGTCCAACATTGATCCTGTAATTGCTAAAACATGGTTCAAAAATCATGTAATTAGGAGGTACAACATATGATGATCTAAATATAAACTAGATCGTTATTCCATAACCAAAAACATAACTCAAATCATGAGATTCAAACTTCATACACACATAAACTTATACACACACATGGCCATATCCACATAATTGAGTTCAAACAAGTCAATAGAAGGAATAGAGTGTAATTTCCCATGCATATAACACCAAAGTGATAAACCATGTTCCAAATTAAGCAAGAATCAAATACTAACTTCCCTCTAATACCCTAGCTCACATGATTGTGAGGAATCCCTCTCAAATTCAAAAGAGGAATCATAGGTGATGAATAAATTTACCGTAAGCTTGAGTCTCTCAAATTCCCAACCTTCTTGATGATCTTCTCCCCCTACTTCTCAAACCCTTCTCTAATCTTTTCTCTCAGGAGATATTTTTCAATGAAGCTTCTTAGTCAAAGTGTTTAAAGAGCATTGGTACATAGATATATATATAAAATGTGAATAGGACAAAAATCAATCCTTTAATCATCCCAAATTGAAATTTCACAGAAATGCTTATTATTACCTAAAAATTATGCTGATCTCAATTGTCAAATCAATTTTGGATTATCAAGTCTCTAAGGCTCTCAATTTCTGATCCCAAATTTTAACTGTGACCGATGCATCCTTATTAAACAAATATGAATCAATATTCATAAGTTTTGCTTAATTAAATTTCATTTCGCATGAAATTTCACAGTAAACAATTAAATGCACAGAATAAAGGACCGAAAGTATACCAGAAACAGATATGAGGGTCGGGTTATTACACTCTCCCCCCTTAAATAAGTTTGGTCCCTCAAACTTGTTTTACCTGAAGATCAGAACAGATGTGGATATTGGTGTTACATCTCCTCTTCTTTTTCCCAAGTTGCTTCGTTTCCGTAATGTTCTTGCCATTCAACTTTTACTATTGGGATCTCTCGATTTTGTAATTGTTTCACCTGCCGGTCCAGAATTCGAATTGGTTTTTCCTCATAAGTTAACTTGTCATCTAGCACAATTTGGTGATAATCTATGACATGTGACGGATCCGGAAGGTATCCTCGAAGCATAGAAACATGGAACACGTTATGGACTTGACTCATATTTGGCGGAAGGGCAACTCGGTAAGCTATAGGACCTACTCTTTCCAAAATTGGAAATGGCCCAACATATCGGGGTGTTAATTTACCCCTTTTTCCAAATCTTGGATGTCCTTTCATCGGAGTGATTTTCACAAAAACATGACTATCCGCTTCAAATTCCAAATTCCTTCGTCGGTTATCCACATAACTCTTCTGCCTACTTTAAGCAATTTTCAATCTTTCCCGAATAATTTTAACCTTTTCAGTTGTCAACTGAACAATTTCGGTCCCCAGTGATGATCTATCTCCAATTTCAGCCCAACACACGGGGGAACGACACGGTCTTCCATACAGAGCCTCATAGGGTGCTGTCTCAATACTCGAATGGTAACTATTGTTATATGCAAACTCCACCAACAGCAGATGAGTTTCCCAACTTTCCTAAAAATCCAGAACGCACATTCGAAGCATATCCTCCAATGTCTGTATCGTCCTCTCGGATTGTCCGTCTGTTTGAGGGTGGAAGGCTGTGCTAAACTTTAGTTCTGTACCCATTGCATCTTGTAGACTTTGCCAGAACCTTGAAACAAATTTTGGATCTCTGTCTGACACAACTGAGACCGGAACACCATGGAGTCTTACAATTTCATTCACATAAATCACAACGAGTTTGTCTGCATTATACTGGGTTTTCACAGGTAGGAAGTGAGTGGACTTAGTCAATCGGTCTACAATGACCCATATAGAATTCATACCCCAAGGAGTCCGTGGCATGCTTACAACAAAATCCATGGTAAGATGTTCCCACTTCCATTCCGGGATTGGAAGGGATTGAAGCAATCTTGCTGGTCTTTGATGCTCTGCCTTTACTTGCTGACATTGTAAACATTTAGAGATGAAATCCGCGATCTCCTTTTTCATACTCGGCCACCAAAAATTTTATTTCAAATCTCGGTACATTTTAGTACTTCCTGGATGTAGTGAAAATCTCGAGGCGTGTGATTCTTCCATCAGTTTCCTTTTAAGTTCTAACACAGTAGGGACACATATTCGGTTTTGAAATTTGAGTACAGAATCCATCAAAGTAAATCCCAGTTTCGGTTTTGTCTCCATCTCATCACATATCTTCCTTAGAGTTCCATCTTCCGTTTGACATAGTTTGATCTCTTCGAATAATGTCGGTTGGGCCATCACTACTGCCACTATGGCCTCCTATTCATTCATCACAAGATCTACCTTCATTTTATCCAATTCGCTCATCAATTCCTTTTGCTCCGTAAATAGATTTGCCAATTGTCCCATATTCTTTCGACTAAGCCCATCCGCCACCGTGTTGGCTTTACCAGGATGGTAATGGATTTGCAAATCATAGTCTTTAATAAGTTCCAACCACCGTCGCTGTCGTATATTCAGCTCCTTTTGCGTAAAAAGATACTCGAGGCTCTTATGGTCGGTGTACACCTCGCAAGTAGTGCTATAGAGAAAATGCCGCCATATTTTCAAAGCAAAAACTACTGCGGCTAGTTCTAGGTCATGTATGGGATAATTCTTCTCATGGGGTTTAAGCTGTCGAGAGCCATCAATGATAACCCTTCCGTTGTGCAGAAGCACACAACCAAGTCCTTTATGTGAAGCATCACTATAGATCACAAATCCCTCAGTACCAGATGGTAAAGCAAGGACTGGAGTTGAAGTCAACTTTATCTTTAATTTCTGGAAAGCAGATTCCCGCTGTTCTGGCCATTCAAACGCAACTCCCTTTTGAGTCAATTGTGTAAGCGGTACGGCGATTTTGGAGAAATCTTGTACAAACCTCCTGTAATATCCGGCTAACCCCATAAAGCTACGCACCTCAGTCACATTGGTAGGAGTTGGCCAGTTCATGATCACCTCAATTTTATGTGGATCAACAGAGACTCCATCCTTTGTT